AAAAATCCCAAAGAAAGTCGTACAAACTGATCTACCAATTTATTTTATTTATATGTTTAAAACGCATTACACAATTACCATTTTATTTTGTTTATTTTTAAATGCCAAAAGTATTATTTCACGAAAAAAATACATAACAAGAAATTTTTTAAAAAGCCACAAATAAAGTATTAACCAAATTTAAATATATTAAAAATGAAGTCATAACCTTTAGAATTAGCTAAATTTTTGGTGTTGTTTTTACTTAATTATGCGAATATCACGATTTAAAAATTTTAAATGAAATGGAACAATAATTTTGGAAGTCACTGTATTTCATGTTAGAACAATAGAAGAAAACTTTCTTTTTTAAGTATTTGTTACAAAGCTAGTTATACTTTTTTTATTATTATTTAAAACTTCATAATTTAACGAATGTATTAGTATTTATAAGATTGCTTTAATCGAAGGTCTACCTAACATTGTGAAAATGATTATTAGTATTGAAATAATGAAAGTATTATTAGCTAAAGAAAATTGAAAAGCAAGAATTGGTCTTATCTCACTATATGCTTTACCAATTATGCTCTTGATAAATTCTTGGAGGTACTTTTATATGAAAATTGATTTATTACCTACACAATAAAATTATTCACTTTTCAACTATTTTTTTTATTTTGCATTTATAATATTTGCTTAATAAAAGTATAATAAATATTGTTAGATTAGGTTTACGTACAAAATCAAAGGGTTTAGCTTAGAAGAAGTCTGTAAAAATTATATTCAAAATGAAAAGCAATCATATTTTATATCAAAATTACATCAATCATTAGAAAAAATTAAACAAAAAGCTACTGAAATAAGAATATTTTATACAAAAGGTAGTTGAAATAGACTGATGTATAAGAATATTTGATGATTGAATATAAATTGTTTTATAATAAACTTTATCACGTTCGTTATGATGATTTAGGTTTTATTAATGATGACTTAGGTTTATTCAAAATAGACAGAAGAAAAATTTGACTATATTCGAGAAATGGAGAAACAAAGAGGATATTGAATTAATAAACAAGAGAAAAGCAATTTTATCAAAATCTCAAAAGAAAAAGAAGAAGCGTAATAATTATAATTAATATAATGCGTTAAGAGAAAATGAAAAAAGTGAGAAAAATACAAGTGTTGATAATGGATAAACTATTTATCATGAATTATAGTAAACCTATCAAATTTACAAAGGAGATATAGTGAAAACTTAAAGAAATGTGCAATATTTATGATGAAGGAAATCGCTGAGCATTATTGAATAATGATGTTATTGGTATAATCACAAAAAGGGTAGCCAAATTTTAAAATTTAATTAGATCCATTTCGTTAAAATGGATATACTAAATCTGATGATATAGCTGCGCTTACTTTTTATTTGAGGCAAATGATTAAAATCTGAGATGCTTTAGCTGAATCATTTATTTAAAATTTAATTAATTAGTTCAATTAAGCTTAGATTTTTTAAATTTTATATATGAAATTCTAATTTTATTTAAATTAATATATAAAACATTAAATTAATTAAATAAATTTTTTTTAAAAAAAGAATTATAAATATTTAATTTATAGTATATTTAAAATTTAACTAAAATTTATTTAAATTGATATAAAATCTTTCAATCCTCATTTTATATATTATTTATATTATATTCTTGTATTTTAATTAGTACAGTAGAAGTCAAGTTTTACCGGCCAAATATCCGGAAAGAAAATAATTTACCGGATCATTTCTGGAATCTGCTAAAATTATATTTATAAAATTTTGCCGGACAAAAATCCGGAATATAAAACCTTTTACCGGAAAATTCCGGATTTTGTCATCTATTTTAAACCCTGATTTTTAATCAACAAAATAAAATAATATGATAAATAATATGTTATAATATTTAGCAAATTTATATTTTAAAACAAAAGAGAATTTAATAATATTTATATTAAAATATATAAGCAAAGAATATGAATATAAAAGAAATAAAAAAAAACTAATCAATTAAAAGAACTTTGTTATATTTTTTACAATTCCCAATTAGATTTGCCAGATTGTATAAAAAAATAATAACATGATTTTATAAAAAAAACTGCTTCAGAAAAATTCAGATATAAACACATTAAGCTTATGAACTCTTTGTTTAAAACTGAGAGAGAGATAAAAATACATATAATAACTAACTATACGATTTTCTGTTCCTTTTGTTAATTTTTTAGATGTAAGAAACAACAATTTGTAGAGAAATCGGTAGGGTAGTATCTGTAACAGTTATTTCGTCTCCCTGTTTCACCATTTCTAGTAACTTCCTTTCCAGATTTGGTCTGGTCTTTTCTTCAAAAATTGGTGGCGACTGCCAATAAATTTTTTCGTTGGTGACGGCGTGAGATAAACTTGGTTTTTTAAGTTGACTTTTTTTTTTTAGGGAATAATAAAAATAAAATAAATATTAACAAAGATGATATAAAAAATTTAAGATATAAAGGTCAAGAACTTACATGTCTTGTTTTTCCTTGAGATATTCGATGAAATCTTCAACTGTTATTTCCATGCTGATCTCCATTGTAACACGTTCATTACCACATACAGGACAATCCGGCTTTTTTTGATGATCAAATGTATAAGTGTACAAACCTTCATTGCCGGTATACATCATGTAATTGTTGAGATATGGTTGCGATGTAGTAATAAGTTTGAATGCTTCGTTACAGCATGAAGCTAACATAAGATAAATATCAATATATGTGAACGGGATCAAAGTATTATTCGTTAGATTAGATAAATACCTGCGATGATAGCATTCGTAGAAGCAATTGCCGGGATGATATTTTTTACGACACCCTGAGTGAGTGAATAAGTAACGCCAGTAATGTTAAATTCTTTGGCTCGTTTCAATGCTGTCTCATATAACCATTGTATATGAATTGGATCATCCGTATCCATTTTAATATCTAAGAAAATCATATTTGTAAGAGCCATTTAAATCATCGTTCAAACAAAAATACGTGAATGAGAAAAGAAACCTGGTCGTTCTTTTGGCCAATGTATGGCGGAAGCCCATTCAATACAATGTTCAGGTAATCTTGGTGTATTAGCAATAGTACAGATGGGGAAAGTTCTCTGTTTACCTAGCATATCAAGAGAACACTCATAACATGAAGTTATAGTAGGTATAATAACTCTGGCTTGACCCTTGAAACCTAATTAAAAAAATTCAATTAACCAAATTAGCAATTATTAAAGGTTTAATAACGATTTAATATTCTTCTTACCTTCTGTTCCACCGTCAACCAATACTCTAATTCGTTCCGGCTCACCATCGACAAGATTCACGAGAGTGGCGTTTATCCATCTACGCGCTTCAACAGAATCTAAGCCACAAATAATAAGCTGAAATCCAAGATAATAATCATCGTCCTTATCTTGAATTTTTCCGTGATAACTAAAACAATGAATAATAATAAGATTAAGAAATAAATTACAAGATCGCGACATAATAATGTGGAACACTTACTAGGTAACCTTTACACCAGGAACACGTTTCATGATAAATTCCGAAGCTACTTTTGCTTTTGGTTTACCAACGTCGGAAGGTCTAATTTACAAAATAATAATAACAATTAGACTATAAAAAATCGGACAAGAGTTATGGGATTAAAAATACCTAAAGAGAAATTGTCTATTTAAATTCGAAACATCAATAGTGTCCATATCAATCACTTCAATATTCTTAAAACCAGAGAGCGCCAAGTTTTTAAGGATTTCACAGCCCAAACCGCCAGCTCCAATGACGAGAACTCTACAAGTATTGAGTAAGATTTCCTATATTTTGAAAGAAAAATAGTTAATAAAGTTAATTTATTTTAATGATAGTGTTTAAACATGAAAACTACCGGGAAAAGACATGCAGGAAAATAAAACTTGAGCCCAATACATCGCCGTGATCGGGAGTAAAACTTGGATCAGCGAAGGGACCACGTCGATCTAAAATTTTGTAAAGGTGAGACCAACGACCGGGCCAGTCTTTACTTGCTGCTGTTTCTAAACCACCCTGAAGATCGGTTTGCATTTGAGTTTCAGACATTATTTTAAGATTTTTTAAAGAGAATGAAGAGAATATTAATTAACACTACGAGAAAATTTATTTACATCCGGAATATTTCGGGTGGCATAGCATATTTAATTCCGGAAATTTTTTAATTTCCGATGCTTTTGTTACGTAATGCGTGATGACTTCTTTTATAATTGGGAAAAAAATCATTTTTGTTAGCAATGAATGAATATTCTTCTAGAGTGGATATTAAGATATAACCGCAATAAACCATTTAATACGTATGTTGCACCGTGGACGATAGTTAATTAACTTTGAGTTGACATTCAAAACTTACGCATATTCAAAGGAAAAAAGAAAAAAAGAAAGAAAAAAAAGAATTATTTTCAATAAATATAAAAATTATAATTTTCACTCGATTTTTTTTTTTTAAAAAAAAAAATTCGTATTATATGTATTAGACAAGGCAAAATTATTATATATATAAAAAAACTGATATGATTTATAAAGTCAAAAAAAAAAAAAAAAAAAATGAAAAAAAAAAAAAATTTGATCGTACACAATTCAAAGTAAATAAATAATAGTAGGATACCAATGACGATAATACAATCTAAAAACGTAAATATTGATTAGCTATGAAAATTTCATTTTCAGTTTTTCTAGTAAGGATCCGCCGCAATTCCAAAATGATCTTAAAAGGATCATGTAATAATACAAGACAGACTTATTCATTTATCCAATTGATTATTATTCTGCCTGATAAATAGTTCATCAATGCAATAATCAACTTCACATGTCACACGAACCTGAAGCTTCATTATTTAACCTTATCCGCCCTCAATGTAACTTAAAAATTATGAGTGCGGAAAGTGTTTTTACTCATTTTCTTTCCAATGAGCAAACCACCACAAACTATGGAAATTATTGATTCTTTTATCACTTCCAAGCATCTTGATGAAGATGCGTGTTTTTCTTAATTACAGCTCTCAAACGGTGCTCCAACTCCTCAGCTTCTCTTCTAGCATTTGCCACTTGCCGTTCAAGATCTTCAACTGAGGCAGTTGTAGTCCTTAACCCGTTAGAACCGTTCGAATTATTGTTGATTATGGTAGCAGCATTGGAAGGATTAGGAGTAGTCCATAAGTTAGTACTTTCGCTCATCAAGATCGGAGAACCTGAGTTGTTGTTGTTTGAAGAAGAACCAAATAAGGGGGAAGCGGATGAGAAAGAAGTTTGTAAATTGAAAATGGAGGAAGTGTTGAAGTTGAAATCCTTGGAGAACAGGTCAGCGGATGAGAAATCAAAGGTGGTAGAAGTAGGTGTTTTAAAATCCAAAGAAGAGCTTTCGAAAGCAGAGAGATTGGAAACCGACTCATTGTTCTGGTCAATTTTCGAACCAGAAATGCTCGGAGGTAAGGAAAAGAGTACAGATGATGCAAAGTCAAACTTAAAATCCTTTGGCATTTTAGCGTTGATTTCACTGGAAGATACACCAGATTGAAATTCCTTGGAATCAATATCAGTTGATTCCCCAATATTGATAAATTCTTTTTGAATAGTGGTAGTATCATTTGCCGTAAGATTAGCTTTCATATCTTTTTTGACATCATTCTTTGCAGTATTAGAAAAAACCTGAGCAGAACTATTCTTGTCTTTCTTTTTAGGTTTCTTGGAAAGAATTGGAGATGGAACGACAGATGATTCGTTGGTGGACGTTCTTGTTCGATTTTCATCAATGGCATTTCCTTTTTGATTAGGTGTATCTTTGAATTTTGAAGAAGACACTTGTATATCCGCATTACCATGCTTTTTTGAATCTTTAAAAGTGATGTTCCCTATAGTTGACTTATTATTAGAATTTGTGGAAGAATTTCTTGAATGCCTATCCTTTTTTCTCGAGTTACTAGTTGTGATATTTAAAGTAGATGTTGAATCGGTAGCGGAACTTGAATCTGACTTTCGAACAGGATTATCGTTATGATGAGATTTTGTATGAGATGGTTGACCAGATGGACTCATAGCGGATTTTGACTGTTGTTGAGAATTATTTCCACTATTTGATTTTATACTTATAACCTTTACGGATGTAGGCTTTTTAGATTGATTGGAGTTTAAATTATTATTGGATTTTTTGATTGCGGTATCCTTGGCAGAAAACGACGGACTTTTGACATGAGCCACATTCAAAGTTTGGATTGATTCCTTTTCAATTTCTGCAGGTCGTTCCGAATGAATGGAAGTAGTTTGTATTTCTTTAGATGCGTCATTTAGGCCTATATAATAACCATACCATCAATCCCGTAATTATTTTAGACGAATAAAAGAAAAGTCAAGTTGATGATTTAAGTTAACTAATTATGGATCTAATTATATTGTAACAACGTCCCCATTCAACATAATAATATAAATATTCAAGCAGAAAAAATGACGACATAAAACACACCTTCCCCAAAAAAATCAAAAGCAAAAAAATTTCAATTGGAATATAAATTATCAACTACCACAAGGAGCATTATACAATGACAAAACGGTTTTTTTTTTCTCTGTTTTTTCTCTGTTTTTTTTTTTTCTTTTTGTTTCTCTTTTTTTTTTTAAGGCTTAAAATTTTTTACATTTTCTTAAATAAGGGACTAATATCCCCGACCACTAAGCATTGAAGAAAACCCACCTGCATCCCCCATTCCGATTCCTACACCGAACCCACTACCAATCTGTTCGTCACCCGTTCTTGCCACCCGTTCAAAAACACTTAATCGATGGCCCCCAACATTTTGTATTGGCTGATATTGTGGCATAACTGGTGCACCAGGTGCTCGATATGCGCTGTCTGCCTGAGATATGCGAACGGACATAATGGCAGGATCTTGTAAAATGTTGGGTAAAGACTCCGCTATATTGTCAATATCAAAGTATTTAAATACAAAAAATACAAAGAAATACAATAAATACAAACAATAGAAACAATAGTGATAAAAGTCAATAAAATTTAACTGATTAATTCGATTCTCGATATAGAAAATTTATGAACTCGTCCAAACCTTCATTAGGAATATCATCCTGGACATTCGAACTAGCTGCCGCAGCCTTTAAGAAAGCACCGAAAAAATCTTGAGCCTCATCTCTAGAGGGACGTGAAGTTCCTTGCATAAATTGCTGATTCTGATGTGAGGGTTGACGTGATAGATATTGTTCTTCAATATTCCATGGAGCATTTTGTGGGTTCCATCCACCTGTCATTCCAAAATCCATACGATGTGTTGTTGGAGTAAATATTCCAGGGGGTGGAGATTTAATAGCTGGTGCGGATGTGCTAGAAATCATGGGTTGATGATGTTGCAATAAAATATTTTGCTGGAAAGGATCCAAACTTACAGCAGAAGTTGTATTATGAAGCGAATGAGTCGAATTTAAATTGTTAGCTATTGGAACACCAGGAGGGGCTGTCAATAATGTTCGCCGTAAAGGTGGTGTAAACGTAGAATCATTTGACGTATTCCACATGGATTCTTGGTGCACATCACTAGGACCAAAACTTATATTGACATTAGGGAAAATTGCACGAAAATCTTCTTGTAAATCTTTCATAGTCAACGTATCTGATCCATTCAAATGAGCATTATCACCATCTTCTAGAGCAAAACCAAACCGAGATGATAGCCTAGATTTTGCAGGGGATGATTGTCCGTGCGACGAATGAGACCTAGAATCGTTTGTATAAGTGTCTGCTATATTATTATTGCTACCAAGAGAAGATAATCCTAAAATACTCAACGAATTTGAATTATCTGTGGCGAATGGATCAAATTTGTTATCTTCTGTCGCAAATGGATTAAATGAACCAGTGTATGGTGTAGGTATTGGTTGAGCATAATCAGTATTAGTGTTAACAAGGTTTGAACTAGAAACTTCTGCATGAAGTCCGGTGCCTGATCCAGCGCTAGGGGGTGGAGATACTATACGAGAACTTCCAACAACATTGTCCGAAGTAATTGTGGAAACTTTATCCTTATGTCTTCCTTCTGAAACTGCATTATTTTCCAGTAATGGAACATTGAAAGAAAAAGAAAAAGAACCATCACTAAGAGCAGATAATGTTTGATCAAAGTCTGCAACTATATCATTTTGTTTAGTAACGAGTTGCGAAGGTTTATCGTTAGATTGTTCTGCTGAAGGAAATGATGGAGGAACAAACTGGTCCTGTAACTTAGCACCCTGAACTAATTCAGTTACTAATTGTTGAGGCTTCTCATGTTCTATATCTAAGTCGACTTCTTTCCTTTTAGACACAGCTGTTAAATGTTGTACTGATTGTGACTCTATTTTCTTAATTGCCTTTGATCCTGAGGATTCAACTACTACAATGCGTTTGGATTTTTGCTCTTGAGACGGTGATGGTGGCAGATGTTGAAAATTTGGCAAATGCGGTGGATATGATTGTTGTGATTGTTGTGAATTTTGTGTTTTTTGTGAAGGATGTATTACATGTGTTGATTGTGGTGGATGATGTGAAGTATGTGATGAAGGCTGGGACTGTGCCGAATTAGATGATTGCTGTGAAGATGTATGCTGTAACTGTGGCAAAGGCTTATTGTTTAACACAGGTGTAGATTCTGTACTTGATGGTTTAGTAGCCCAAGAAGCAGTAGGAGGTAATGCCGACGCTGAAATTTTTTTTTAGAAAATAGAAAAAGGAAATTTGAATTGATAATATTGTTTATTATTTACAATATTTTGATGTTTGCCTTAAATGATATACAAATTCAAGTTGTAAAATGATAAATACCCTCTTCTCTCTCATCATTGCTTCCTCTGTCGCTTTCAGGGCCAAGAGCGCGATGCGGTGTCTCAGGCTTTTTCTGTGGTGGAAAAACACTCGATGTCCCTGATGATAATGGTCGTCCTAGCTGATGAACCTTATGTGTTTCTGTACTTGTATGTTCTTTTAGGTGATATTTACTAAAACATGAAATATTATCAAAATTCTTAATTTTAATTATGTAAATGATTTTCTCCAATTGCATAACTTACACTGAAGCTAAATCTTCCTTAGTATAACTGTCAGCTTCCTCTCCAGGTTCATGCAAATACATGCAATTAGGATTTTGACAGACCATATTACGTAAATAATAAGTACAATATTTTGTTGTTCCATATGATGCCCTAAATTCATAAAAAAAATAAATCAATTATAACACATAATTACGAAAAATAAATTAAATAATTAATTAAAAGTAAATATTTATTACCTTAACACTTTTCCATCAGACACACTGCCGTCAACTGCATCAATTGCCCTTGCTGCATCTTCTTTCCGCGCATAAGTAATGTAAACGCCAACACTAGGCTGAGGCGGTGGTGCACCAGGAACACTCGATGCCGGAGAATTTCGACGGTTAACGACAATTTTGGCAATTTTTCCGTATTGGCCAAAATAATCATGTGACCGAAGTACCTTTTAACAACGTGATTCGGGTATAAATTATGAAAATTCAAATATACAATTCTACTTTTCATAATATGAAGAAAAAGAAAACATTTGTTGTTCGGACTACCTCCTCATTTGCAATCTTCGGACTAAGGCCAATTACGTAAACCAAATTTTTTTGGACTACTCTCATATTGGATAGATGTTTTCGATTCATCGCTTCAAGCTCTTTTTTCTCACGTTCCTTTTGTTTCTTTTCATTTTTGATCCGTGTTAATCTATATTATAATAAAATGTAAATATATATATGTTAAAAGGATCTTGCTAATATCATTAAATTAATCGATAAAACAATCATTCTTTTTTTTTTTTACTCTTCTCATAATATTATAATATGACTAAAAGCGTGAAAGAAACATACTCCTCAGTCGATATAGGTTTAAATTCTATAGTCTGTTCTGAGTAAACCCTTCGACAAGCTGGGCATCGACTGTTCAAATTCTCTTGGATATGATGCCAACAAAATCTACAGATCTGAAAATATCGCAAATATTTAAAACAAAAAAAAAAAATATAAATAAAATTAACATTAACATTATAGCTGGTCTTTAAAAAAAAAAAGAAAAAAAAAAAAGACAAATACAAAGAACTCTTTTATTGATAAATAGATGTAATAAACTTAATGCTTGTCAAGGAATTGGATATATAAGAAACTTCACCTGATATCCACAAGGGCATGGTCTGAAATTCCTGTCTGACAGATCCATCTCCTCCATACAGAGAGGACACTGGGACTCCTCCTCTTCAGAATAGTACTCAGCCTTGAGGGACATTTTTCTTACGAATTCTTGTTACTTTAAGATATATACTACTTTATTCTTTGATGTAAAAGTTCGCAAACGCGAAAAGGTTATAGCTAAAGAAATTGGACAAGAGGAAAGAAGAGAGTAAAGGCAAAAGAAACCTCAAAGCTTCTTGGAATATCTATTTGTGTTGTTATAGTCCGTTTGGTAGACGCGTGAAAGTAATTTTGCTTCACTTCTTTAACAAGAGAAAAGAAAAGGCGAAAAGTAATACTAAGTTAGATACTTTGAAAGAAAAATAAAACGAACAACTACGAAGGATGCTGTACCTGATAATACAACAGTACTACTTAAAAGAAACAAGGAGAAAAAAAAGAATGAATTTTAATGATTTTTATGTCACTTAATCACAATTATCCTTAGAATAGAAATTATGACATATTACCATCAAAAAATATCTTAGAATGACAATTTTTAAAAAAAAAAAAAATCAAAAAAATTGATTTTCGTAAAATTGTCAGTCACGTGATTTATTCACATTCACGTGACATTTGGCCTGCATTACTGTATTAAGAAATTAATCGCGTAACAAATCAGGAATGATAAATGAACGGGATGTGTAATAAATAAGGGATGACAAATATTTTTATGATATACATGAAAATTTGTAATACTAGAAAAAATAATTTTAAATAATATAGTTAAAATATATAATTATTTTTTATTTGTTAAATTTAAAAATCATAATACTAAAATATTTTAATATTCTAGTATTTTAATATTTTTAGCTTATATATATTTAAAATTAATCGTCTGTGAAACATAAGGGTGACAAATAATATTTTTTGTTTTAAGTTCCCAGATTAATTAGTAAAAACGAAACATAATAGGATGTGATTCGGTGTGATAAATAGCAACCTAATCTTTATACTATCACCTAAACTAAAGCCAACTTCACATAAGTTCTAAATATCATATGACCCGTCATACACCCCGTGTTTACTAAGAAATTTTCTTTATGAAAAACTTTTATGAAATTGATTATTATGCTTCTAGGATAATTTTATTAAATAAATATATATTGTTAATTAAATATCAACTGTTATATAAAATTAATTAATAATATAAATTTTAAATTTTTTAAAATGGCAAAGTGAACATTGTTGATACACAGGGTTCAAAAATTTAGTATATAAATTAATCCATCACCAGTATTAGTATAGCACTTCCAATAATAATAATATGAAATTATAAACAGGACCTTTGATAGGAAAGTTGATATTTTTATGCAACTAAAACATCCTTTGAAACTTTATTTACAATCTTCGTATATACATATTCCTCGATTTAAGATTAAAATTTTTTGTTTTTCAACTGTAAACAAATAAATTGCTTCTAATTTGTTAACACACTCACTGTCTTTTAAAAATAAAAAAATTCATTCGATACAAGGAAGATAGGGTAATCCATTGGTGTTTGAGTATCTTGATTATATTTTAAAGGGTCTTTAATGAATTTTTCTGATGATCTTTGAACTGTATTCACTTTTATATAACTAGCATCATTTAAATATCTATTTATTTTATTCATTCTTCTGATAGTTGAAAGTACCTCACTCGGTTATAATAATAAAAGCCAGTCATTAGTATCAAGAAAGAATTTCAATGAATGAATATTCATTACCAATTCTTACCTAAAAACACATTAATTCAACCATATTGCGAAAATTTCAAAATCATCAAAAGAAACTGTTACACTATCAAATTTGTGCTTTTTAGTAGAAGGCGTTGTCAATTCAATCCTAGTGAAATAAATAGAGAATTAGTAGTGGCAAAAAAATCAAATGCATTAAAATTCAAAGTTGATATTTACCATCCAAGATCTAATATATCACTATGCATTCTAAATAGCCTTGAAATTATAAACAATAATGTCAGCAGAATATGTCCTTTCAAGATTACCATAATTTGATTTGAGACTGGTGCCTCCAATCTAATGGAGCTATAAATATTAACAAAGTTAGAAACAATGCAATAGCTTGGTTCGCATGTGTGGAAACACTTACCAATGTGTCATAATTTGTTATGCTATATCGTAATCCTCATTATAGTAAGGATCAAATCTACCTTCAATAAAGCTTTCCTAACCAAGATTGGGACCCAAGCCCTTTTGCAATATTTTTCATTAAATTGATTAATATATTCTTTAAATTCTTTTGTTTGATCCTGCCATTCTTGCTTTCTCAGCACACCATTTAACCAATTTAATTCTTCTTTGCTCAATTTTGATTATATATCTTTTTTATCAGAGACTTCTAGAATCCCATTAAGCAATAAAGAATCCATAAGTGTTTTCCTTGAAATTTTTTCTTTTTCTTGAACTAGTTTTAAAATCGTAGTTAATTTATCAGAAATTTTAATTTCAAACTAGAAGATTATGTAGGGTGAGCATATAAAGAAAGTGATATAAATATTATGATCAAATCTCCCAAGTTGCAGAAGCTATGCTAGTTAAAAGAAAGTCAAAAATACCTCCGTAAGGTTTTCTCTACATGTTCAATAACTTCTAAATCATTTTCTCCATTATCTACAGATTACATCTGTGCTGACCTTTTTATTAATCTTCCCGGAAAAAATTTCACCACTATTTAATGTTCGTATTTAATTTTCGTTCCTCAATTAAATCATGTGCTTTTTTATCTGATATCGATCTATGAATTGAACCCGTAAGCCATTATCAAACACAGAATTAATAATGCGTCCACCTTTGGAATTTGACATAAATAATTATTATACACCTCAGTTTGTTTCATTTGAATTTCACTTTTTTCAATTTCTATATCCAACCAAAACCTTTTAACCTCTTCATATTGTGTTTGATTCTTACAAAAAGATAATAACAAAAATGATCAGTGACAACAAAAACTGGTCCTTGGAGGCTACAAACGAAACGCGCTCTTGGTACCGAGAGCATGCCCCAGTCCTTTATGCAGACTTAGGATGAAGTCCACCGGATTGCATCCGTAACTAGCCCGAGCATGCCAGGCCGCTTAGGTGGTTGTTTAGACTATGAAAATAAAATAAAAATATATTTCAATTTGGTTAAGTCCAACTTCTTTCCCTATCTCCTCGCTGCTTTGCTGTCACCTCATTTTTCAATATTAAACTTAAAACTATAATGACCAGTATTCCATTATTTTTGCAGCCATAATCCACTTTTCATCTTTAGATATTTGTGCAATATATAAATCTTGAGATGAGTGTATGTTCAGCAGAACTATTGTATGTAAAATCTTGTTTAATACTACGAAAACGAAGTATTGAAATAAGAGTAAGGTTATTTTTGTCTAAATAATCAAATTCTTCAAATTATAATAATATTTCTGACATCTTTAACGCTCTGTAATATTAATAATAAAAATAAAAAAACGCGTAACAATTATATGCGCGGATCTTAACCCTACCCCAAATTTTGAAACATAACCCCAATTTTAATCGGTCAATTTAGGGATGGGATATAAATTCAAAATATTTTTATAAGCGCAAGACGACAAAATCTGTAAAAATCTTGTGTAGTCATACGCGCGTCATATGTAAAAGTAAAGTAGGAATAGCGAAACCCAATTTATATCACTGCGGTTATTAAGATTTGGTTAATTAACCGTTAATTAACCGCAATATAAATTTTAATATTAAACGGAACTTTATTATATTACTATATATATTACAGATAGCTATATATTTTTGCAACAAAGTTTATTACATTTGATTCAAATCCGAAAATACTATCATCAAAATTCAATAAATCATCGTCTTGTTGGAGGGGTAGTATTCCAATCTGAGGATCATCCGTCATCCGTAATCTGCAATCACGTGATCTGCAGATCATCCTTAATCCGGTGAACAGATATCTGATTCGAACGGATTATCCGTTGCATCCGTTAGATTATTACTATTAAAAATTTTTATTTATTAAAAATACTGCCCAATATTTTT